CAGTCGCAGCCCCAAAAATCGCTGCCCAAATGGCTGGCTGCATAATTTATGCGCACAATTCGTCGCCGCATCCAAATGCCCCAAATGTCTGCCGCCCATTTGTTGGCCCTTTGTTTTTATTTTTGCGGCAACAGCTGACGCTGCGCTTCCGATTAATTAAAGCCATTTTATTGACTACCCGGCGCTGCTTTTTGCTGCATGCTGCTTGCTGCTCTTCACTGTGGTTTTTGGTCGCGTGTTTTGACCAAAATACGTTCAAATTATTATGCGGTTAGCCTTTAAGCCGACAAATATTTATGCTAGAATACCCTGTAATTGTATTAGTTGAGTGATGAAATGTACAGATTTTAGAGCAAGTAATTAGAGCTGTCAGATCAAGTTGCCCCAGATAGTGAAGGGAGCATAGAGAGAAAGAGGGAGAGAGAGACAGAGAGAGAGAGAGAGACAGAGAGAGAGAGAGAGACAGAGAAAGAGAGAGAGAGTACGGCTTGAATGCATAGAGTATTAAGCATACGTACATTGCATATTAAACATATAGAGAGCAGATAGAGTAGAAAGAATATAGTAAATACTTTATATAGAATATGTAGACACTTCATATCATATAAAATTTATATGGAAAAATAGAGAATGGAATTTAAAATATATTTATATATGTATTTTAAGTATATATATTTTTTTGACAATTTGAATTATTCGTAATATTCAGAGTACTTAGAATTCATACTTGGAGTATTTAAAGTACAATATATAGAGTATTTAGAGTACCTAAAGTATTCAGAGTGTCTATGTACTGTACTTTGAGTAAATTAGTTTAAAGTACTTAGAGTATTTAGAGTACTTGCAGTATTTATAGCATGTAGAGCATTTAGAGTGTACAGAAATATAGCATTTATAGAGTGTTATGTATACTTCGAGTAATGAGAAAACTTAGAGTAAATAGAGTATTACAAGTAAATAAAACATTTGAAGTATTTAGAGTATTTATTATATTTAGTTCATACAGAAAATATGCAGAAATTTGAATAGTTAAAATTCTCCGAGTATTTAGAGTTTGTAGAGTTTTATGAATTTCAAAAGTATTCATCTTATTTAATGTATATAAAGAATTTTTACTTGCCCATTGAGAATATGGACAGTTAATAGTCAACTATAGACTACGTACAGAATAAAGTAAATTTAATAACTTGAAAATGGGCTTGCAGCAAAAATTAGAGCACTTTGAAGTTGTTTTCCAGTCTGCAGCAGGCTCAATCGAAAATATTTTCACAATGTATATATAATATTTATGTATAAATATACATGCATATGTATATATACTCGTTGCACCGATACAACTAATAAAAGTTCAGCTTGCATTGGGAGCTTGGCAGTTTTGGGAATTGGGAGCCACGTTGCTGCCACATGTCGCGCGGCTCGTGCTGCTTGACTCCGAGCAAGGGCTTTCAACGTGCGGCACGTGCTGTCTATGACGAAGTTTGTCGCTGCCACAGCGCCTGGTGGCGCACGCCTGCCAAACTGCTTAATCAATTACGCAACTTTGCAACAACATGCGACAGGCTGCAGCTGACAGCCGAACTGAGCCCGCCCACACTGGCGGGCCACAGCCCCCACGGCTTAGGCTAACGCTAAGACTAAGGCTCTGGGCATAAAAAGGCAGCCGAATTGACAGCTGCACCAGCGAGCACCTTCCACTTGCCACAGCTGCGCCAGCAACTTGCAACTTGGCAAACTATTTGAAGTTGCAAGTCGCAAATAGTTTAATTAAAATGCATGTGAAGCATTTTCTTTTCAACATTTCCAACTTACGGCGCCTAATGAAATTAACGTGATCTTTCAACAGCAGCTGCCAAGAGGGCAAACGACTTCCATTGCCACATAACACTGCTAAGTGCATTAGAATATGAGCTGGGATTTATTTTCTACAATGGAATTTATTTGAATGTATAAGAAAATGACTCGAGGTTATCTACATTAGAATTTCTGTTAATCTGTATTCCAATTTTTGAGAAAATATTTTACTTATATTTACACAAGAATGATATTTAATATAAGCATTATTATTTAATTTTAATGTACAAAAACTTATCTTAAATATTTTATAATTTTACTAGGTATAATAATAAATATTTAATTTGCAATAAAAATGGTCAAAAATATTTTATATTATTACTAAATTAATACATTACTATTGAATTTACTAAATATAATCATCATCAATATCTTATATTATTACTAAAAAAAAAATTATTATTTAATTTTATTGCTCTAAAAATAATCATAATTAATGGATATTTTAAACATATTTTTTTACTTATGTTTCTCAGAAAATTTGGACAATTTTTAATTTTTAGTGTTTACTTTTAATGTTAATATTATTCACTAAAATTAAACAAAAATGTTTTATATTAATTAAATATTTTTTATAAATATTAAATATTTGCACAACAAAAATTGGGGAGAGGAAAAAATAATCACAGAGGTGAAACTACAAACAATGGAGTTATTCTTTAGTCCGTAAGGGCAAACTGACAAAATATGTCAGTATAAAAATAGACAGAAAATAATCACAAATAAAAAAAAATTCTGAGAAAAATTTAAAGTAATTTTTTTTGTTTTGGAATATGTTTTAGGCCAAGTCCGCGCGTAACGAGCAGAGGAAGGGCCAAATGTCGGCGACCGAGCAACCATGCTTCAAGCGCGTGACGCATTGCATTTTCGACAACGATGGCACAGTCATGGGTAGGTCAATTGCTCAGCTGCCCGTGCTCATCTCTATGACCTTCTCCTCCTCCCTCCTTTCCAGATACGGAAAGCATTTACACGACCGCAATACAGAACGTGCTGACGCCCTACGGCAAGACCTATACGTATGAGATGAAAAAACGTATGACGGGACTAGCAGCCGTGGTGGCCAGTGTAATGATGGTTAGGGAGTACAATTTGCCGATTTCGCCGGAACAGTATCTGGTCAGGTTTCGCGCTGAGCTGCATTGCCTGATCTCGGATGTGAAGCTGAAGCCGGGCGCCAAGGATCTGCTGCTGCATCTGTTCGAGTATCGCGTGCCCATGGCCATGGCAACGTCGGGCTATCGAGACACCTTCTGCCTGAAGGCACGGCCGCACTGCGACCTGATGCCCGTGTTCCATCACATCGTCTGTGGAGATGATCCCGAGCTGAAGGAAAGTAAACCGCATCCGGACATCTTTCTGCTGGCGGCGTCTCGCTTCAAGCCAGCACCACCGCCCGAGTGCTGTCTGGTGTTCGAGGACTCGACGCAGGGCAAGGATGCGGGCGTGGCCGCAGGCATGCAGGTGGTAATGATACCCGACGAACGCCTGCCCCTCGAGGAGACCAAAGGCGCCACGCTGGTGCTCAAGTCCATGGCAGACTTCCAGCCGGAGCTGTTCGGCCTACCTGCCTACGATTATGCGGAAAAGTTTACGTTTGGCTAGCGCTTGGCATTTTTTTCTTGCTCAAAATTTGCAAAGTATTTTATTTCAGTCATGGGGTAAAAATCTCTTAGTTTTAAATTTCTAAAAAATGAAATCTATTTTTTTGCAAAAGTTTGAAATCATTTTAATTTAGTTTTGAGCTTTATAAATTAAAAAATACATAATTCCAAATATAAATTCTTTTACTTAAGTTGACTAAAATTTCTTAATCTAAGATTTAAAAAAAAGCCAAAATATATATATTTTCTTAAGCTTATCTTAATTATATAATTTCCTTTCAATTTCAGTTTTAATTGGTAAATTTGCCATGCAGCAAACTTTTATCAAATAAAAATATGAAAAACTTGAACTTTAAAATATATATATATATAATTTTTTACTCTTTTCTTTAGCTGCCCTTGAGTGCTTCCTGTGGCGCGCTCGTTCATTAGGCAAAAGCGGAAGTGGGGCGCAAATGCTAAAAAAATAATGATTCGAAAATAAAAAGTAAAGTCGCCGTCGCTGTTGCAGTTGTTAAAAGGTTTATTCACTTTACTTTTATGCGCGGCATAGAGACAGATAAAGAGAGAGAGAGAGAGAGTGAGAGAGAGAACTTGAGATTGAACTGGAGCTGGAGCTAGAGCTGAGGCTGAGGCTGAAGGCCCGAAGCGGTGCTACAGACTGGCCTGCCAGCTGTTCGACAGTCTGGTTAGAACATTAAGTAATTATAAGTTGAGACAGACGTTTCTGTTGCTGTTGCTGTTGTAGATGTAGTTGCAGAGGCAAAAGTTGCTAGTCCCAAGCTATGCTACAGCTGCTCGAGCTAGAGCTCCACATACACACGGCGTATGCGTAATATGCTGAATAATTAAATTGTCAACAATTGACTTTTGGCAGACGCACAGACAGACAGACGGACTGAGAGTCGGACACTCATTAAAATATTATATTTGCCTATGCAATTAATTTTGATTTATCGCTTTGAAATTTTCCTGTGTGCTTAAAGCCCTAATTTGGGCAAAAGACGAAGCTGAAGCTGTCGGCAAGTGTAGAAATTTCTAATTCCCAGTGAGACTTGTCTGAGATAATAATAATATGTTGTAGGCAATAGACTTAGGTATTCTTAGACGTTTGACATTGGCTTGAGTAGCTAATTATTTGTGATAGTAATTACTGTGACAATAGAAACTAAAGCAAGATTTGTCAATTGTCTTTTTTAGGTAATTTTAGCAGCTGCTTTAGTTTATACATTTACGCGTATTGTTTTATGGGCTCATTATATTATAGAGTCGCTCTATCAGAACTTAAAAATTATCATATGTTTTGCTGGATCAAATTTATTTATGGACTTGCATTGAAACTGACAAATTGTATTATTATTTATTCATTGTTAGTTATCATATATTATTTATTTATTAATTATTAATTATTATTACTATGATTTCATTATTATCTATTTACATTTTCCTTGTATTAATACTTAAAAAATTAAATAATAAAACAACAATTTGTATTCGTTTAGTTGATATACTTAAAACTCTTTTATTTTATTATTATACACTTTATAGGGTTATATTACCATTTAATATAAATTTTTTACAACTTTTCGTTCTCAGATATTTTAACCATAATTTAGTAGATAGTCAGCCGATTGTCACCCGGTAAATATTTCCTGTTGAATGTTTCAGAAGTGCACCAGAAATTTTTGCTTAAAAACCTATAAAACATTCTATTTATATATATATGCATATGTACATATGTATCTGTATGTATATATATGCACATGTATATATATATAGAACACTTAAGCTTCCGCTGGTGGCTCCTCGTCGTTGTCCTCAACCGCCTCCCCGTCGTTCTGCTCGCCCTCGTCCTCCTCCTCCTCCGCCTCCTCGCTCTCTCCACCTGACATAATTGCTGGCGGCTCTGGCATCGGCTCCAGGTAGGGCATACCAAATTCTACGGGATCGAACTCGAGATATGTTTCGAGTCGCTGCGTTGCCAGCTCAGACCAGCAGCAAGGCAGCTCCGGGTCGGGCAGCATAATCACCTTTAAGCGTGCGTCCCGGGCAGCCTGCACCCCCTTGGGCGTCCCATCGAAGGCCAGGCAGCACTCGACGCAGGGCGGATCGCAGAGCAGGCGCATGGCTATCAAGTAGCAATCCGGTTCCGGCTTGGGCCGATTGTACTCATCGGCGCAGAGCACCTGATCGAACTGGCTGAAGAACTCCTCTCTGCCGCGTATCTTCTTGCAAAAGATCTCCCGCTTGCTGGCCGTGATCAGGGCCAGGCCAATGCAGTTGTCATGCAGGTGGTTGACCAGACGCTCCACGCCGTCGATTAGCGGCGGATTGCCAATTAGCTCGCACGTGTGCTCGTTCAGCTGCACCAGGAAATTCTCCCAGGGAATGGGCAGCTTGCACTTGCGGCAGATCAGCTCGGCCATCTCCTGCGTCTCCATGGCAGCGCTGCGCAGGATCACCGCCTCCGGCAGAGTCTTATTATAGCTGGCCAGGAGCTCACGGCAGGCGCGTTGATAGATTTGACGGGTATCTAAGGGCGATACGAGTAAGCTGTAGAATCTATTCCATATACCTAGCCACAGCGCATTCGCCTACCAAACACTGCGCTCTCCAGGTCGAATATGCAGTAGGCGGTGCATGGCCTGCAGCACTCGGGCGGGCAGCAGAGGCAGGGATTGCAGCACGGCGGACAGCAGCGCAAGCAACGCTCGGGAGTTGCCTTTATGCGCGCCTTTGGCTCACACATGATAGGGGTCAGAAACTGAGCACTTCTGCACAATTTAAAAGCGAAATGACCTAAAGGGGGCCAAAAGATTACAAAGTACAGCTGCTGCCAAAGTAAACCAAATTTTTGAGAATTTTTTTTATGTTTTCTGAAATATTTATCAAAATACGTAAAATAAATTTTTTTTTTTTTTTAAGTGACAGTAGTATAGAATAGTATAGGAAATAGAGAAAGAGAGAAAGACAGAGAAAGAGAGAGAGAGAGAAAGTGAGAGATAGAGAGAGAGAGAGCAAGAGGCAGAAAGAGAAAGAGATAGTTAGACATATGTAGAGCGGGAAGGGGAGGGAAAAAAACTAATAACAATAGTGCTTAATATAAACGTCTGAAAGAAATAACTATTTATTTAAAAATCGATAATTATCGATAATAATCGATAGAAAATACAAAGTTCATCAACTACTGCATATAGTATACAAGAATTTACGTAATGCGAACTCTATTTTTTGTAGTTTACAAGATCTTTGCGATCTCGTCAGACCGGTAGCCGGTTGAACGGACAGACGATCAGATAATTTACCTTTGTAAGTAAAAATTTATATACATGATTAAAAATGACCTAGATGAAGACTTTTATTTAACAATATGCTATCAAAGCAATCATAGAAAGTATTCTCTTGGTTAAGCCAAGAATTAATTCCCAGGAGCTTCTCTATCTCTATAATTCCATGTCGTTAAGCTGGCATACAAAGTATTTGTAGTACCTCAACTCACACACATTTAGCTTTTATTCAAATGTATTCAATTGGCACATAATATGGCCAACTGCCTAATTAAAGTTTTTGTTTAATCAGCGCTTTAGCGCTGCTACTATTAATTGGGCGTGGATCCCTTTGCGCATTTAGTTTACAATATGCTCTCAAAAATTAAGCTGTTCCAATTTGGGCATACGAAATGCGTTTGTGTAATGTAAATACTACTCGAGGAGTGAGCCTAAATGAATGTAAATGTGAATGCGAATGTGAATGGAAATGGAAATGGGAATGGGAATGACAATGGCAATGGAAATGGGGAGAGGTAGTGGCAATGGTAGTGGTGCTCGTAGTGGTAGTGGTAGAGGTTGTGGTAGCGACAACGACGGGATTAACATGTGTCGACGGCGACGCTGAAAAGCTTTCATAGTCCTTTGCCGCATTCCACTAAATTAATGTTAAAATGCAAGGACCCAGGCGGATAAAGCAGGTCGGAATGGATGACAGGGGCAGGGCGTGGCATGGGGCAGGCGGGAGGGAGGTAGGGCAATACGAGCAGTTCGAATGGGCGTCAGCTGCGCGGGGTCAGCAGCCATACAGTCGGCAATATCCTTGTTTTGTTTGTGTGTACTGTGTCCTGTTATAAAGCATTAATCAAGCATACCTGCTGGGCAGAGTGAGCGGGACAGCAGCACTGCAAGAAAGGGAGAGCGAGAGGTCGAGATGGCGAGAGAGCGAGGGTGTGGGGGGTTGGCTGCGGCTTTGGCCTTTGCTTGTTTGCGGTGGCGACAACGAGACACACACACACACACACACACACATACATACACGCACACACAGGGACACTAAATTGGCGCTCATTATGATGGGCCTGCACTCACAGACAGAGACTCATGTGTGTGCGTGTGTGTGTGTGTGTGCACCCCTGCAATTTTCCGGCTAAATGGCATACATTAATTAACGGGGACTTGGCCCTTGGTAGCAGCATTCATTTGGCCAACAGCTCACGAAAAGATTAATGGTGCGCTATTAATGTGTAATGACAAATGTTAGTGCAGCCTCTCTCACTCTCGCTCTGCCTCTCGCTCTCTCTCCCTCACAGGTTCTCCGTTTCAGCTCTGATTTAGCTGATATCACCTGAACGTATTTCCATTTGGATCAAGTGATTGAAATAAATATTTAATGAAAGTGCGCGCAAGTGTTGCAACGGCAACAACAACAGCAACAACAACAGCAACAACAACAGCAACAACAACAGCAACAGCGACAGCAAACGCTTCATAAACAATTCATCAGCAGGTGCCAGCGGCCTGAAATGAGCAACAACAAGGCCAGCCTTATGCAATGAGGTGCGGGTCAACAGATTGTGTCACTCGCACTTCAGAAAATTAAAACAATAAAACAAAATAAGTAAATAAATAAATATAAACAAAAAATTAGCAAAAAATTTATTTTTTATACATTAATACATTCTATGAACAATTAGAAATGCTCTTTGGAAAATGCAAAATCTTTGGTTTGATGTTTTTAAATAGATAATGTAATTTTGTATTTTTATTATAGTTTATTTTTAAAAGATATATTGGCAAAGCGTGAGTCAACTTAAGTAAAAACTATAATTGTATAGTCTAGAAAAGGTGCAGAAAATTATTACAATAGTATTACCAGCCCGATGGGGGAGATCTTATTTACCAATCCGGCCCCTATTCACAGCCAAATATAGTCAGTGATACTATTGGAAATATGAAAAACAGAAAGTATTCAACAACAGTTTTATGGAAACAAGGAAACGAAAATTTGTATAAGTCCACTGACTAAAGTAAGTCACCAAGCGGATTTTAAAATATAACAAACATCAAATTTATATCAGCGTAAATGCTAAATTTGGAGAGACTAGATGGGATGTGCCTGAAAAAAGAGATGCAAAGAAAATGGACAAACAAATAGATCTACTATACAAAAGCATTTTGAAATATTTGGTTCTTACATTCAATGACAACTGTAAACAGGCTGCCGTAGCCGGAACTACACCGCGATAGAGCAAACAAAGGCACAAATGCGACAAACAGCAAGTGGAACAACGTTAAGCGTCAAAGTGACAACAACAGACATTAGGGGACGCACATGAACCACTGAGATGAGATGGCGTTAGGCATGTCACTCGACAGGCAGTGAGAGAGAATGTGTGAGAGGGAGAGAGACAGCGCAACTATAGGGCAGTTGTGGCCAACAAGCAAATAAATGACAAACTAAAGCCAAATTAAGTAAATAAAATTGTTGACGCTGTCAGGCGCATAAACTGACGCTGACATGCCCTCGTGACAGTCAGACATCAGGCCAAGCAGCCAGCCAGCCAGCCGGCCTGCTAGGCAGCCAGGCAGTAGCTGGTAGCTGACAGGACATGTAATCGTGTGTCCTGTACAGGAGTTGCTGCTGCTGCTGTTGCTATTCCTGGCCTAGTGCACCCACCGATGTCAGTTGAAGTGACAAGCAGCGCACTGACAGCAAATAGTTGACTGCATTCACACAACAGCACAACTGTCCTGCCAGATCGTAACGCCTCGATGTTGTATCTAATGCAAACAGCCCATATTTGCGCGTATATTGAGACTATTTGATATGTATGTCAATTTTACATATTTTTCCATTATATGTGGTTTTTACAAAATTTTTTAGAATATGAATAGCTTTTGCCCTTTCGAATAGTGCATAATGAACTTCTCATTTCTTGTTTTCTTGTGTTTTGTTTTTGTATATTGAAAGAATTTGCACTAGATATGAATCTAAAAGTCAAATGGCTTTCATTACCTATAGTAATATATATCCGAACTCTTTATATGAAATCATAGTATATCAAATATCTATGACATTCAAAAAACTTTCTTTCCTTTTCTATTCTATCTATTCTCTCGCACTCGTGTGATTACATTCATGGTATCTCTCTCGCTCTCTCTTTTTCTACTATCCCTTTCTCTATTTTCCTTAAGCTCCTTTTCTCTCCCTCTCTGCCTCTATTTATACATATGTCTCTCTAAGTGTCTCTCTTGCTCCCTCTGTATCTCTCTATCTTTTATTATAACAGACAAGTTCTCTCTGTCTCTCGATCTTTCACTATCGCTCAGTCTTATCTATCTATCTCTCCCTCCCCCTCTGTCTCTCTATCTCTCTCTCTCGCTCTCTATCGTTTCCTTTTATCTCTCTCTCTCTGACACCTTGAGTCTTTTATATATATATTAATAATTCTCTTTCTCTGTCTCACTGTCTCTTTCTCTCCCCTTCTCTCTCTCACCCTCTCTACCCCCCCCTCCCATATCTCCCTCTCTCTCTTTTTCTCTCTCTCTATGAAAGAAGAAGAGTTCGGTTGATTCCTCAAAATTGACTTCTTTTGAAGCTATTTTATATACAATATATATTATAATATTAATTAATTTCAGTATTATATTGGAAATATATCTCTCTCTCTCTCTCTCTCTTTCTCTATTGCCTCATATTACTTTATATGCTCAGACCTTAGGCAAACTTTAAAATCCTCATTTCTCTTTGAATCAAAAAGAGCGTTAACCTCAGCCTAGACAATCAAAGGCAGAGCCTCTATGTTACGACTGTTTGCACAATGGGCAGACAAACGCTGACATGTGTCAAAACGAAAGGCGCACAATTTATCAAAAGAAACAATAAAACAAACCAAAATGTAAAAAGTAACAAAAACATGGCCAAAACACACACAGAGAGAGAGAGAGAGAGAGAGCCCGTAGCCCGCTAGCTAAATACCCTGTCAGAGCTATGCGATGTAATATATAATAGATATATCATTTGAAATGTGAATTTTGAGAGCGCATCATCAATCTCTATTTCATTGAGTGGAAACTGGAGCACTGTAAGCAAACACAGTTGATATGCCCGATATCAATGCCAAAGCTGAGAATCAACAATGGAACAGTGGACAATTGTTTAAAGCGAGACATGAAAAGTAAAGTTGACAGACAAAACTAAAACCAAAGCCGAGTCCGAGTCCGAGTCCGAGTCCGAGTCCGAGTCAGGGCAGGATAAGCCAACACCAACAATGGTCAGCAACAATGAAGAACGAGACAGGGAGAGAGAGAGAGAGCGAGAGAGGGCAAGATATTCCCAAATTCACACGAGACAGATTTTTATATGTAGTGAAGGATATCAAATGAAAAATTGACGCCCACTCCGCCCCTCTCCACTCTCTGTTGGATTTGCGGCTTTGCGGGAGGTTTTGGATCCCAGCACTTGGCTCCATTTATCACGCCCAAAAGTGAGGCACTGCAAGTTTCCGACTCAGTTGAGAAGAATACCCCCAAAACGAATATCCTCTGACTGCCTGTCAGAGCTCGCTCGGTCCGGCGATTATTATGCTTTATGTGTGCGATAATCTAGTGCATTTCTACATGAGCATGGCATGACAATGGCATGGGTTACCCTTACTTTTTTTAACGGCTGTCAGCTATTTGTGAAAACTCGAATTTAATTGATTTATCGATTAACACAATAACAAATTTGATTGGGTAAATGTTTATCTTAGAAAGGAGATAATCTAAAATTTAATTAGAAATTCGTAAAGCTCTAAAAGGAACAAATTTAAAAAAATTATATTTAGAGCAATTTAATAGAACAAAAATTATTATAAATTATTTTTCTAAAAATAATATAAATTTCATAGCAAATATATATAAATATACAGACTATATTAAAAATGAAATATACCTCTGCTCTATATATGTATGGAATTTTTTATAGATATTTTTCCAATAGAAGAAAATAATTTCCAGAGAATATTTAGCATTAAAATGATATAAAACATAATTTTAAAATATTTTTTTTTTTTTATCGATTTTTATAGGAAATTGTATAAAATTATAATTAAATAAAAATTAAATTTTGGTTTGGCTCTGCTGCTTTTCCAATTCGGTTTAGTTCATTATATTCTTAATAAAAAATATATTAGTTAATAAATTACCACATAACTAAACATAGTGTATTTAAGTTTCGTTCTGGCTTGTACTTCATTTCCTCTTTAGATTTATGTTAAATTGCGCAACAAATGAGAAATTTTCTTGTTTAGATTATTGCAATTTTTTGTAAGATTTTTCCCCCAGATTTTGTGTGTGTGTTTTATTTGTTGTGGCTCTTATTATTGTTTTGTTGTTTCTGTTCATTTCTGGTTTGGTTTGTGCCCTGTCTTGTTTATGTTTCATTAAGTTTTTTTTGTTTTGTTTTTTTTTTTTTTGTCATTGTAAGAGTGTTATTGCAGCTGCATTTGTGCCGCGTTGACTGATAAAACTGCTCACAGTGTTGACTTTGCCGCCTGCCCCTCCTGTGGTGACACGCCCACTTTTGCGACCCGCTTGGCTTTTGTTGTTTGCTACAGTTACAAATTAACAACAACAAAAATTATAATAATAATAATAGCAGCAGCAGAGGCAGCAGCAAAAGGCAAAAAAGTTGACACATGTGTATGTGAGTATGTGTGTGAGTGTGTGCGTATATACACTATGTGGTTGGCTGTTTGACTTTGGCTTTTCTAGCTTTTTGCCTGACCAAATGCAACAAAGTAAAATGCAATTACGCTCGTATCTATGGCACTTGCAATTGCTACTCTCTTTTTGCACAGTGTACATACATATGTATGAGTGTGCGTGTGTGTGTGTGAGTGTTTATTCAAGTCATGTTGTGTAATTTTATATTGAGGTCAGTGCTACTGACTGTAATTTATAAAAGTTCGCATTTTGTTTGACCCGCACACAGCTCAAAAAGACCAAAAGCAACAAAAAACCAACAAAAACAACAAAGTTTCGGTTTGCTCCTTTTGTGTGGGTCAGGGAAATTGGTCGAATTGCATGCGATTTCCCATATGCAAATGGAAAATGGAGAAATGGCAAAATGGCAAATGGCCCATCAAATATATCTCTTTAAATCAAGTTTTTCCCTTTTGTTTTATTTCTATCCGAATTTTAATCAAAAACCACTTTTCCCCCTCCTCTCTTATTCATTTAGCTCGCAAAAAGCTTTTGCTAGTTACATTTATTTGCCGACTTTGTATTCTAATTTTTCGGGCATCTATTATTCAAACTTTGTTAAAGTGTTAAATGTGTTCAATTAGAAATTGCATGTGTGGGAAATGGGGAGTGCCTCAAAGTTTTTAATTGTATTTTGTAGTATTATCATTTAAAAACAAAAAATATATGTATAATACTACCGTATATATACATATATACGAAAAATTAGAATATGTTACGAATATTTTAAATTTTTTTATTTTTATTTTCTTAAAAATCTATTAATGCTATATAGCTTTAGAAATCTTGTTAATATACCTCATTTTTTAGTACGCATAATAGAATTTTAATTAAATTTTCATCGTACATGTAAATATTAAACAAAAATAAAAAATAAAATAATTTAATTTAGTAAAATATTTATATAAAAAAAAGAAATAAATAAATAAAAAATTTTTGTTTTATAGGCTGTCTGTAATTATAAAAAAAAAATTAATAATAATAATAATAAATTAAAAAAAAATTAGATTACAAAAAAATTCAACATAAACAGAGCACAATAAAAAAAAAATAAATAAAAAAATAAATCGAGTGTCGAGCCAACGAGTCTCTTCAGTCGCACTCGCCACTCGCCGAGCGACAAAGTGTCAACTGCGCAGACTCAACAAATGGCGCTCTGGCGCTCATTCAGCTCAAGCTGGCCTAAACAGCTGCCGGCCAAGTCACCTCAGACTGGGCGGAAGAGCAACGCAGGCGTTTGCTTAGTTAGGGTCAGAAGCTAAGCAGAATTGGTTGGGTCTCTCAGCAGAGTGGAAGGTCTGGCTGAGGTCGCAGTCGGCAGGGCGAGCATTAACTAAACGAAGACTTCGCCTGAGTGTGGCAGCGGTCTCAGCCTTTTGTTGTTATATGTATACGTATATGTTTTAATGTTAGAACATAAAAAATTACCATAAATTGACAAACGTAAAAATATTAATAAAGCACGGTTGAGCACATAAACCTGATTGCGAGTCCATGTGCGTGCGTGGCACTTAAATTTTTATTGGCGCAAAGGATTTTGTTAAGCATGGAAAGCATTTCGAGCGCATGAAATATGCATGAGACGCTGTCTGTACCTGCCGACTGGGCGGCAATTCAATTGCATTCGCATATCCCATTCAGCTGCCCAGCTGTCCAGGCCAAAAGTCGGCGAGCCGTGAAAGCGGCTCAAAGGACAACATTTGCATCTGTTTGGCCCCGAGTATTTAAAACAAAAATTTACACACACACACATACACACATGGACAGTGCGGTCCAGCAACTTTATTAATAGTATTGTCATTGGGCTCTTTGCTTTTCGCATGCTGCGGCCTAGTACGTGCCCGGGCATAATTATGCACTCGTCGTCATCCTTTTTCGAGGGCAACTGCAAAGGTCCGAAAACAGAGAAATAAAATAAAAAAACAACAAATTGCCAATCGGCGACATAATAAAAGCACATAAATGCGAACAGCGTGCGCAGGCCAGCAGCAACAATATTTCAATTAACTTAATTAAGCCATTTTTATTTGCCACGGTCAGGTGTTAACGCTTGCACACACACTCACACACACATGCAGCATTGCATGGCATTGTTAGCGATGGGCTGCTGCAGCTCCATGCACAAAGCTTCATTCAGAACTCTTGATCAATGCTCGAAGGCAGCGGCTGCTTGTGGTAAACAGAGAAGCATGCTCGACTGGCAGATACGCTGGTAAATGAGAGAACACATTTGGCTGGCTTGACTTTGAAGAACATCAAAGAGATATTCTTTTTTTTTTTTTGGAAATTTATTCACAAAGCAAGGAAAGGATAATAACATAAATATATATGATTTCTTGTTAATTATTAGTTATATAAGAATTCTAATATAAATTTTTTTTTTTAAATTTTATTATATTATAAGTATGATATTATTATGCATTTCGCTAAATTACATATGTATATTATACATAAATTACATATATATTTATACTGTAATTCATATACGATAGTGACTCATTCTTCAGTGGTTTTTAGCTGGTTAATTAATTTAATTTATAGAGAGCCTTAAAATCCAAATAAAACAAGCAAGGGTGCTTTAAACGGAAGTGCGCCACCTGGAGATATCTCGAGCCCTGCGGCGAGCTGCTATGACTATCATTCATTCATACCTAGCTAAAACATAGTCACAGATTGATATGGGTATATGCACTTAGGTCGTCGTCCTGATCAAAAATATATATACTCAACGTGATCGTCTCTTTTTCTATTAAAATCCATTTTCGTATGTTGCTACACCCTAACATCCCATTTTTAATGAGCTCAAGCTATGCAAAATTTCGTATATATTCTATCGTGGCACTATATCAATGGCCAAACTCAAACTTCCAGCATCAGTTCGATCCCATTCACCAAGATTCTACAAACACAAGTCAGAACATTGCTGATGTAGTTGTTTTAATGCATATTGAACGCTGTGTGAGTCATCATCGTCAAATCGTGTAAATTAAAATAAACCATTCTTAGTGTTAGGTGAATTGATGCGATATACAATATAGCGTTTGCCACTCCATAGATCCGTGTGTTTCATTAAGTGTTGCAAGACAATGTCAAAGGTGTGCCATTTATAAGTTCTTTTTGTGTATATGTGTGTGTGTGTGCTTAGCTTCAATAACAATTAGGTAAGTGTGCTATATTTTGACTGGCTCTACTGGGTTCTAGCCGCTCTTGAAGAGCAAGATGGCCACTTGGCCCAAATAGAAGTAGATGAAGTGACGCGTCTCATGGGTCACATAGGAGCCGAAGTTGCGACCCACGATGCAGTGCCAGGTGGGATTGTACTTCTTGTCGAACTCCTTCTTGATGTAGGCAGCAATGTCCTTCTCGATGTTGTACTTCTCCAATGCCTGGGTAGCACAGTCCACAGCGTCCTGCTGCATCTCCTCGCTCATATCCGCATTCTTGATGACTGCCTTGCGGTCGGACATCTTGGGGCTGTGTTAATGAATAGCTTTCAACAGATTCTGCGAAAGAGCGCTGGATTTGAGTATCAGCCAGTTTGTGAATGGACTGACTTACGTTGTGGTCGTTCTGACTATGAAATTTATCCAACGGACGCAGTTTTCCGATATTTTGATCACAAATTTGTATTGTTCTATTAGAGTCTAGCATTAGTTTCAATTTGACTGATAAATCTAAGCTAAATCAAAATCGAGATTTCTCGGAATGTGAAAAGTTTTTCAGAGAGTGGCAGCTCAACATATTTTTCCTATTGACTCACGCAAGGAAACCAGGTGGCAACACTGGCCAAGCTCTTTGCCCATCGATACTTTTGCGATAAATAAATAAATACATTAACGACTTTTTCCCTTTCAACAAAAAATCCTTTATTATAATTTGAATAGAGTGTTCAATTTCACAGAAATTTATGGAATTTTGTTTTACAAAAAGACCATTTTTGGGAGAATTATGAATTGTAATTTAAACAGATATATTTCATATGTTTGTGTTTGCCTCATCCAGAATGTGTTTTATTTTATTCATTTTTTTCAGGTTAGTTGGGGCTCGTTTTCCGATCGAATATGGAATTATCGGTATTGAGTGACTGCCCCAATGTTGGGTCTAACCGCTCTTGAAGAGCAAGATGGCCACCTGTCCCAAGTAGAAGTAGATGAAGTGGCGTGTCTCATGGGTCACATAGGAGCCGAAATTGCGACCCACAATGCAGTGCCAGGTGGGATTGTACTTCTTGTCGAACTCCTTCTTGATGTAGGCAGCAATGTCCTTCTCGATGTTGTACTTCTCCAATGCCTGAGTAGCACAGTCGACCGAGTCCTGTTGCATCTCCTCGCTCATATCAGCGTTCTTAATCACTGCCTTGCGATCTGACATCTTGAAGTCGTTCCTGCTTTATCTGCGAAAAAGCTGTGAAATTTAAGTGGGGCTATAAACACAGCGATGCGCGTTGACCTTCTCAACAAACCTCGATTAGCTCTCAAAATAGTTCAATTGTAGAAATTTGGTAGTCACAAGATTTTTGCCTTAATTTTTATTTTTTTTTTTTTATTTTTATTATTTTTTGTTGAAGTTTTAAAATCTTTGATTATTTTAGTTTGAGTGAGAAGTCTCAAATGAAAATTCAACTCATCAGAAGCATGTAGAGCAGTTGTAACTGAACAACACTTCTATGATGTGTGACGTTGTGCAACACTGACAGCTCGATATCGATAAGCAGCAAGCTTGCTTCTCGATAACATTTAAATCAAAGTCCAGAATTTGCATTCACATCACAGTTTCATTGAAAAATTCTTATTCGGTTTTCATTTGTGTGTGTTTCCTTTATTGTGATAAATGGAAAACCTGTTAAACTCGATTAGACATGCAATGCGCGGCTGCACGTAAAGGAAATTGAATTTTAATAATAGCATTTGCGCGGCTCTAATCAAGTAATGCAACTAATTTGCAGCCTTTGTATGTTTTATTTTTAGCTACCGACCGGACATGGACACGGATATGGACACGGCATTAGCGACTGAGGGAACAACGACAACAACAACAACAGGAGCAACAACAACCTGTTCAACCGGCCAATTCAACTACAACATTGTGAACAAATTTCACCTGTTCTCTAATGAAACGCTAATTTACGACTCACACGCAATGCTCCCGACTTGGCCCATTGTCTGGCCAACGGACCTCTAAGCCAACAGGCAACATGGTTAAAAAATACTAATCAGCAGATAAGCGAACACGCATGAATGACTGATTGCTCGCATACATCTGTATGCATGAGCGACTATTATGAGTTACTCTACTTTTCGTGCAGTGTAGGTTAGCTTTTTGAGTAATTGGTTTATAATTTATTTGTATTTTTAATTTTCCAAAAGAGCAATTTAGACAAATTAGGGAGACAAGACATTGCAATCAAGTTTTGTAGCCACCCATAATCGATCTATGAATACGATTTATGCATTTCTCGATATACTTAGATCTAGTTGTATGTGTTATACGTGTTATATTTAGCTATCTATATATTCCATTTCTTCACGGAATTCACCTTAGTCTGGAGTCACCAACACCAATTCCAGCTGCTCTTGTTTTCAATTTAATAATGAGAGAGCAAAGGGAGAACTGCATTCCGGCTCTTATAAATCAAAGTCCAACTGCTTCTCTCACAATTTATATTAACTCTTCATTATTATCCATTTACTCAGTCATTAAAGATCAATCAACTATCGGCAAAATCGATGCCTTTTAAATAACTATTGCCTCTAGCTATAGTTCTTAAGTAACTATAGTCCAGCTCTGCTAACTATTCTCCAGCTCTAATTGGCATTGGCCACCTATCCTAGTTAACTCTAATGAAGTTATTTAATTTCTTCCCGAAAGCATATGCTATCCCTTCTATATATTCCAAGTATGTACATATATCAAGGCATTTCCTCTCTATTCATATCTTCTCTATATATTCAATATACATATCTTCAATCAAAACTCTCTGATTCTTCACTTAAAATAATTCTTCAACAATTTTTCACTTATTTAAGACTTTACATAATTCACAAAATTTCAATTTAAGCCCATTTACGCCTTTGCTTAAAGACATCTAAATAAATGGATTATTTTTAAGCCTCAGCTCTGCTGAAACTGCATCAATTCATATTTGAATCAATTGGATTTATATGGCTTTAGCTTTTTGTTGTTGTTTGTTGGTTGTTGCTTTCTATGGCCCATGGCCCACTTGGCTGGCAGAGAAAAAAGAAATGCCCGAAATGCATTTGGAATCTACTCAAAATGTTGCCAAGTAATGCAGACAATGCAAATGTGTGTTCCGTGTGTGTGTGTGTGTGTGTGTGTCTTGCTTTTATCCTTTTTTTATTTTTCTTTTTTTGTCACACAAAGTTGAGCTGGGAATAAAAGTTTTTAATCTGCCGCATGGAAAACTTTAATCGAAATGCTCGAGTGGGAAAAACTAAGTCAAACTTTTCAAATTGATATATCAAACATTCGATTCGTATTTTAGCCTATCTCGCTCTCTCAGTCGCTATCTGCCTCTCTTCCTCTTTCTCTTTTTCTCTATCTCTCTCCCTCTATCTGTCTCTCTCTCGCTCTTTCACTGTCTCATCTTGTGCAAACATTTTGACTGTCACATGCCAATTGCGTGTTGAAATGCATGCAGGAATTTAAGCTGAAAACTTTTGCCGCCGACTGTGACAAATGCAAATGTCAAAGTTTTGCCCAATACACACACATACATGTACATATATACTATATATAAAGCTGCATTTTAGTTTGTGTAAAAAAAGTGCATTCGACTCCATTTGCTGGCGCTTCTCATATGTAGAGATTAAAGAGAGCTTGAGCTGACCTTTTGGCACTACACCAAACAATGCACTTAGTAGCATCTCCCCGTCTCTCCTTTCTCTCTCTCTCTCTCTCTCTCTCTCTCTCTCTCGCTCACTCAACTCGAATTCAAAACGTGACTTTATTTCGTTTTCACAAACATTTACAACCGTTTTTTTTTTTTTTTTTTTTTTTGTCGTCTGATTTATTGTTGCTCTGCTCATGTCAGCCTCGAGTGTTGCTTAAATAGAAATTAATGGCAACAATTTATGGAGCAATTCAGTTTTTAGTCGAGTAGTTTAACAAATTATAAATCTCTAAACGATTTACAAGTTGTGAGAGGTTTTTTTGCTATTAAATAAACTAGATAGAAGTGCAATATAATATGTGCACATAGTTTTCATTATTGCATATTAAATATAATATAATAATATTTCAAAAAGGTAGAAGTTGAGGTCGAGGCTGATTTTCATTGCGAACCCTTTCAGCTTGAGCTTGTTTACTATATAGATAACATATGAAATTCAGGTTGAATTAAAAGTAAAAAAAAAAAAAAAAAAAAAACTAAATTTGAATATGGAATAGAATTTTTATAGAGTCTATATTGAAGGTTATGTAGGCTACTAGGGTGTGATCCGAGAAAAGGGCATCACTTTTTCAAAAACTATATTTTATTCTAGAGGCTATTAAAGTAATTTTTATTATATAATTTTCGTAAATTTCTATACATTTTTAAGCTATAAAATAATTATATTTAAATTCAATTTTTTTCATTTAGAAATTTTAGCTCAGTGAATATAGCATCAGGAATAAGCTCCTCAGACGAAAAGCTAGAAAACTCTTGACATTTTTTATATAAATATCTCGATGAATACGAATGATATGAACGATGTGCAGAAAATAAAGCCCATATTGAAGAAGACACGGAAATTTTCGACAGCAGAAATTAGAAGACCAATGAGTGGTCGGAGCAACCTCGGCTGTTTGTAAGATATCTTATGATATACGATAATATATAATGCCTCATTTGGTTGCATTAAAATAGTCACTAACTAAAAAATCGAAATAATTTTAATTAAACTTCTAAAGCCCTTTTCATTTCCTGGCAGCTTTTCCTTGCACTGCTTTTGTATGGTCACCAAGTAATGCAGAGCCTCAGTTAGCTTATCTTACCACATCAACTATAAACTTTGAGATGAGCTCCTCCAAATTGAAGCCGGCTGTCAGGTAAATATTTTTCAATAAAAACAGCTGAAATTGCAACTTTTATGATTTAGTTTCAGGCGCAGGCCAAACAACTAGAATAAAAAGTTCAGCACGGCAAACGCAATTGTCGTGTCAGCAGCAACAGGCAGCAGCAGGAGGAGCAACAGCAGCAGCAGCAGCAGCAACAACGAAATTCAAATAATTTGATGAGAAATTTTTAATTAACCAAACGCTCGCTCGTAGCTGCCTTTACACTGGCTCTGTGTGTGTTTGTTTTTGGTTGGGCGTTGCTCGCCGCAAAACGCAAATACTACAGTCGAGGCAAAATTAATTTGCCCAGTGCAAATACTATGCAAAAATTCTCACTGTGTGTGTGTATGTGTGTGTGCGGCGTCATAAATTTTACAGCTGTGCGAGAGCAAAACCCCAACCATGCCAGCCAAATAACACAAATTTTTCGCTGACGAGCGAGCAAAGTCAAGCATAGTGCAAATATAAACAGAGCCAAGCACACACAGACACACACTCACACACACACATGCACATGCAGAGTGTGTGCAGTGCAAGTCATCAGGCAAGCTGCTGGGAGTTTCAGTTCCAGTTGCCAAGCTCGAGTCTCAGCCAATTGCCACAATGAGGCGGCGGCGGCTGCTGCTGCTGCTGCTGTGTGGTGTTTCCAAGAAATTTCACCTGCCATGGCAGCCCTAGACATCACACACATACATACACACACATGCACACTCGTGAGCACATATTTAGTGGTATTATGGCCTGGCTAGCTTACGTCGTAGCTGACGTCTATGACTGCCAAATACTCGTAGTGCCATTTGCCACTTGCCACTTGCTGTCGTCAGTGGCACAGCCACATCCACATCCACATTCACAGCCACATGTAGAGCCAGTACTACAGCTCTAGCTAGTGCCACTGCCGCTGCCAGTTGCAGTTGCTGGGAGTTAGTTACCCAGCAGGCGCTGTCATAAACAATCTCATTTTGCTAGCCAAGCGAACCCAGTGAACAACATTAATGAGACAAGTTGCTGCAACTAGGGCGAGAATGGAGTTTTCAAAACTAATTAAAACATTAAATGAAATTGAATTTAACCTATATATAAACTAGAGCAGTATAACTCAAATAGATAAGTTTAGTGATAATTTTTTAATTTATTTTATTTTAAATATTTTTATTAAGTGTTCAATCAATGTCATTGATGAAGCTCATATGAGCTGTATATACAGGCTTCGAGTCTTTATTTATATATACGTAAATCACTGGCTGCTGAGGCATTCGGCTTATCTATCTAAATATTGTAGTATGAGTAAAAGTATATATAATATATAGAAAAATTTTATATTATGTAGTAAAACTATCCAATTCAGTTGCTCTTACAGCGAATAGAATGTGAATATAACGAAAATATAATGAAAATTATCTTTCCGTCGATTCTATCTATTCTCTGGAGATCTGAAGATAACGAAGCGACACTGCTGATCAGATCTAAAGATTATGGCAGATGCAGAATCAATTCGAAGCTCCAATTTGCCACCTTTTGCATTAATTTGTGCATTTACCCGAACTGGAGCTCGCTTTCGAATAACCATCAAACACATTACTGTTATATCCCTATAATTTCCCTGTCATTGATCAACATTATTATCCGATTATCCAAGATTATATTATGTTAAAGTTGGAGTTAAACAAACATTAGATAATAATGCAAGGGGGGGGGGCGTCGACTGCGTGTTAAGGTACTCTTCTTTATATTTTATTAAGCCGAAAGCATCGATAGCCAGTGCCCAATTTTGAAGTCCGCTAAAATTTTATATTAACTTAATAAATAAATCAAAATTGTCAATGGTTCCACATATTTCCAGGTATACCTCACCTCACTATCAGTTATCCCTTGTACATATCTCTCGGTAAAAATGTTCATTGGGTTACCAACTACTACTACAACTAATGCACAGCTGCATGTGTGTGTGTGAACACCTCTGCGTGGGTGTACTTGAAGCTTGCATTTGACTCTCTCTCTCTCTCTCTCTCTCTCTCTCTCTCTGTCTCTCTCTCTCTCTCTCTCTTTCTTTCTCGCTGTGCCTGCTCTCCGCTCATTATGCATAAATTGTCGCTGCGCTAAATTCTGGCAAAGTTAATGGCATTATAATGCCAAAGCCTCGACTGTCTGGCTGCACAGTGGGCGACAGAGATGGCAACAGAGCGCTCTGGCAGTATTAGCTGGCAGCTTCATGAAGTGCTGCCTGACAAGTTGGCCCTCCAAAAAAAAGGAGAAAAGGCTGTCGATTGGGGGCAGAGGCGATGGCAGCAGACGCTGTCGAGGCCGTTGCAAATGACCCTCGTTTGTTAAGGTTTAAACAACGGGTCAGAGCTAACAGCTCTGACATTGGGCTACATGGGTCACAAATGTCAGCCAGCACACACACACACACACATACACACACACTCGCACGACTTAAACTTGTTAACGTGTTGCCAACTTTATCGCGAGCCGCTTGATGCAACAGCAACAATTGCTGCCGCTTTTACTGCTGCTGCTGCTGCTGTTGCTGTTGTTGGTGTTGTTGCTGCGTTGTTCGCTTCCTGCATACGACGCACGCGGGGCGCCACCGCAAACTTGCGGCAGCGCCCTGTTCTCACTTCCGGTTTCCGGCTTGCCAGCTACTAGTTGGTTACTGTTAACTTGTTTTGATTTTTTAATGGCTCGCATGACGGCAAAAACAGAAGCAACAACAGCAGCAACAGCAACGGCAACAAAAACAACCGCGACAACATTTATGCCTTTCATAAATTCCTGACTTAAAGCGACTGCCAACAGTTGAGACGCTTAACAGAAATTACAAATGAATAATGCATGTGTAACAGGATAACGAATTGAAGTCAAGATTTCTTATTTATGGCTACCACATGCGGTGCAAGTTAATATGAAGCCCAGTTGCTACGAGATATGTGAATGACTTTCTGCTATGATAATTTCTGTTAAACGAATGTAGTTAACCGTAACATAAATGTTAACCAAGTAACAAAAATTTGCTTTGATACTACATTTAAATGCCAATGATTAAAAATATCAATTGATTCGTAAATAATGAAAATAACATAAATGTTAAGTTGGAATGTTATTGCCAATAAGAAATATGCACATTTTCTGTAATAGTTGGAGATTAAGGAGTTGTAAAATATTCCAAAACTTCTAGCATTACATAAGCGACATAAACGATATATACTTAACATTAAGATTAAATATCAAAGATAAAATCAATATTTGCTCAATATAAAAATTCTAGAAAACATTCAAAATACTTTTAATATTTTAGAGGACGTTTGAAATTCGGTTTTTTATTTAATTATGTTACATTTATGTTACTAGCTGTAAGTTTTGCTTAAATTATTGTATTTTCTGGCTAAAAGCTTTTAACAGTGATTTAACATAGTCCAACAGTTAAGTTACATAATTCTGTTACGATAACAGATTTTAGCATTGCCTGAAATATATTTTTTGTCAGGTTTACTAAGTATTCAACAAGAAATTTGTATGCGAAGTCAAGGTCTTATCTAAATAGTCTAAATTTACATTTTGCTGTTAATATAATGAATGGATTAGCAATACAAGCTGCCGTCATCGCTTAGCTTTAAATGAAGGGTTCAGCATTGGAAAAACCAAAAGGACTTTATAAAAGGGTTTAACTTGAGTTCCTATAATTTTTAAATATATTCCAATATAGCTTATCCTACCTTACCTAACATCCATATAAAATTACGCATTCTAATGAAGGCTGTCAAAAGATTCTTTGTGCTAGCACAAATCAAATTTCTTTTCATTTGCCTTAATCAGAATTTATTGTGTCTTCACTTTCGTTAAAATTAAAATAAATCTTCCATTTCTCTTTGTGTATTTGTATGAGCAAGGCAATTAACAGTTCGCTTCTGAGCTTAAGGCTAGTTAATCGTGTGCCCAGTTGCGAATGAATCAACAGAAAAGGGCGCACAGTGCCCGCTCGCCTCTTGTTTTCCTGAGCTGTGAAGAAATCAAGTTATGGAGCTAGTTACGAGCCAAGGCGGAATGGGTTTATGTTTCCAAGCACGAGTTGCGTGACTTGAGGCGAACAATGGCAATGGCAACGACGGACGGACGGAGGAACAAGAAACAAGAAACTGGGAACAATCGAAAAGGTGTTGCCTAGACCAAAGGACACACCACAGTGGGCAGCTATCGTTGAGCTTTTGTCATGCAAATAGTATGTGGCTCAACGAGCAAGGCGGCGCCCCGAGAAGACAAACCGAACACATCAAATTAAAAACAAACAGCCGGCAAGCAGACAAGTTACCTAACGATCCCCCCTACTGCAGTCCCCGCTCAACTCTTTTCGACTGCGCCACTGGCCACATCCTTGTTTCACATGCAACTCGTAGAGCAAAAAAAAAAAACAAAAGAACAACAACAACGAAGAGCTGCCAGCAGCAACAACTGGCAACTGGTTGACGTTAAAAGGAAGCACAAGTCAAGTCGGAAAACTTTTGCTCCTTCTGCTGCTTCTTCTTCTGCTTCTTATTTTGCATTTTCTCTGCTTTTGCTGTTGCTGTTGCTGTAATTGCTGTAACAATTGCCATAGACTTGGCGAAGGCCTGCACAGTCGTCAATTTTAATTACGTATGCAATTTATTTATTACCTTACCGGAAATATTGTGCCTTACATGATGGGCAGACAAAGACAGCAAGACAACGTGTGAGCCAGAGAGAGAGAGAGAGAGAGAGGGAAGGAGCGAGTGTAGACTTCATTTAACATGCGGTTATCAAGCTATTTTTCATTTTACAATTGACTCTTGGCATATGGGCCAAGGCATGCACAATGCGTATCCTACGTCGTTTAAGCGGCTTGAACTATATTTTCAGTTTTATATGAATAAAAAGTATTTATTTAGCTGGATTTTAAATTCAATTATTTATCAATTTATTAACAATGCAGCCAGGAATTTAATTAAAAAGTTTTGTTTTATTTAATTTTCCAATTCATATTTTAATTTTTCAATTAGTCTAGATATTATTTTATAGACATGTGCTTTGGTTTTTCTTAAAGCTCAGCAAGGAATTTAATTGAAAAGTTTTTTGTTATTTAATTTGTCAATTCGTATTTGAATCTTTTGCTAATAAAGGCATTTTTAAGAAATACAATTTTCGTATGCCTTGAGTTTTCTTTAGAGAGATAGATTCAGATAGAGGGAAAGAGACACATATAAAGATACGAACAAATATTATGAATTATATTATTAAAATTTCTTTAGTATTGGAGCTGGAAAATCTAAGCTTAACGACTAAATTTCTGACATCATTCTCCATGTATTTGCACAAGGAGAATATATACATATATTCCAATTGGGATAACGCTTGATTAATTAATTTCATATACATTTCTATTTCTATGTATACATATATGTAGCTATTTTTAAAAATATGTCTATATATTTAGCTTATAAATAATAATATCAATTATAAAAATTTATTTAAATAATATTTATTTGCCAGTTTAGTTGAATATACTTTTAATATTATTAATATTAGTTTAAGGCATTATTTTAGTATTTTCTTCGCAGTAAAATGCCATTACGCCATATATTTATTTCTAAATGAATAAAGTCAAATTTTTGTTGGTGCTATTATTATAATCATAATTCTCGGTTTATTCACTCTGTTGTTGTGGCATTTTGGTAAAGTGATTTATTTCGAGAAGCGCAACAACAACAACAACAACAACACCAGCAACAGCAGCAGAGACAGCAACAAAAGTTGAATGGCCATTTAGGAGCCAGCGCACGCTTGGCTGTGTTTTTTTTTCGTGTTGCCTACTTTTGAGCGCTTTCGCTTTTGACGAGGCACGAACAAAATTTAAATTTTTAATGCTATTTCGCGTAATTTGGCAGTTCGTTAGGCTTGTTAAAAGCCATACACACACACACACACACACGAGGATTCATAAATATGAAAAACAGCCAAATAAAAATGAAAAAAAAAGAAAAATACGCCAAGTGCCGCATTTGCGGTTCCGCCTATGCTTCGCGCGCGTGTGTGTGTGTGTGTGTGTGTGTAGCGCTCGTTATGAGTCACATGACACATCGTTATGTTTTGTTA